AGGCTCACGGAGAATGTGAATGGCACAGCACTAAATATGATTCGTTTTAGTACGCTAGCAGAACGTTTTTTATCCTTATTTCTTATGCTGTTGTATTATTCGGTGGCGTCGCAAGTACAAGTAAATGCCCATGTGAAACCTGATCTATCGATTCACATCAGGTCCCATTGGTGAATCACTCTTTTTTTGTTAGGCTCTCCTCGTCATATTCATTTCAAAGCTGTCTGCCAAGTCCTTGCACCTTTTTGTGCTTTGGAAGCCGTTGAACCTTATCTTCGCTACAGGTTTCGCAACAGATCCATGTATCGTACATAATATCCCTTCACTCTTACTTTAGTATGCTAACCGGTCGTGTTGCATAATCGTCGTGTTTCGTAATCGTAGCAACTCTCAAAATCGTTTCTGTAACCTAAAAATCCCTGGATAGTATAGTATATCCGCCATAAAATAAGCCGGCGTCGACGCCATCGTGTCGCAGGCTTACTAAGTGTCGGATACAATGCTTTTTGATCTTTTCCTTTTCTATTTTTTCTAAAAAACAAAACGTTGGCACTAGTTCCGTTAGTAGTTCAGTGTAATATAATGCAGCATTTTGCTATTTGCCGTAACGGCGGAAAATCTCATGAAGCCCGTAACCTCTTGTAAAGCTAGAACATGTTACAAGCTTCGTTGCTAAGAAACTTTTTCCATTTCTTATATGTTAGATGCCCCTTATCGAAGCTAGCCTCAGGATGTATGAAAAACTACTTTGTGATCACCCAGCCACTCTCTCCCCTCTGAAGACTCTCTGAAGTCCCAATCTTTGATAACTATGTTTCGTTCGAGTACAAAGTTTTGCCCACCCACTTAGATTCGTCTGTCACTGCGACCTTATTAGAAGTTTCGACTAAGTAAAGTGGTGTAAAATTTATCCGGAGCTCCAATCATTCAGATTCATTCAGCCTTGAAATGTCGTAAAGGGACAGAACTGGCAAGTCTGGGACAATATTATATTTGTTATACATGTCAGAAATGTCGAGATTGTCACTTGACGATACATGCTCAGGAGCTCCACCTCTCGGTCCGTCGCGGGCCCTGGCGGGCTTCAGAACAAGAAGGAAGGAACATGGGTGTATTCACGGAATGTCTAGGTAGTTCAATGGGGTTGAGCGTTTCTAGCTTGGAGATAATTAGAGATGCGATGGAAAGCGGCTCAGCGTCAGGCGCCTAAGTCTATGAGCGCGTCTGTGTTCCACATTGTATTTTTGTACCATTTTCGCCTCAACGGCCACTTTTGCAAACTCCTCTTAGGCTGTGATACGAACGACATGATACGCTTTATTAGCGCTGATCGAATAATCATCTCCATGATGATCGAGGGTATCGTCACAACTCTTGTTGCAAGAAAAAATGAACTCAGAACGCAGAGCTTCACAGAGTTTCGGTAACCGTTTTAGGTCGATCAGAACGGTTGGCGAAATGAAAGTGATTCTATTAATACAAGTATGTATGATGCTTCAATATTTATTCAGTAGGCTTCCCGTCTTGAAATGGGAACTGAAACACAGAGAAACAGTATGATGAAAGAATGAGACAGGGAAGCTAAACATATAAATAAATGCAAAGTGGCACCTTTCCCTGGTGACATCTTACTGAAATGGAAACTCGCATATCACAGGAAATGGGTGAAAAAGTGAAAGGAAGTGAATGCTGATGAATGAGCTTATTAAGCGGAATGAATAATGTCAATTGAATGACATCAGTTGTGCGTTTGAGCAAGAACAATGGAAACTCTCAGAGTTAAGAGCACGCTTAAGAGGCCTGCAAAATGTACAAACGGAAACGACGGGCAAAAGAAGGGTTTAGGGCATCTCACAATCATTTTAGAAGTGAGCACAACAGGGTGTCTCATTGCCTCGTCGACAAAGTAAAAGCTCTAGATATGTCATAAAAATGGCTCATAACAAACATATACAACAGAATATCATCTATGTATATAGCAGAATGGCTTTGAAAGCTGATATTCACGGAGGGGTTTCAATATCGACCGGTGTAAGAGAACCGCTGAAATATCAAGGTATGAAAAGCTGTCAAGACAGAGTTCCGTATGAACCGATTTTTTTTCTTGAAAAAGCTTTTGTTATTTTGCGACTTTTTCCTCTTTTCTTTCCTTATTGTTTCACAACTTATATTTTCTCTTTCCTTATTTTATTTCTATATTTGTTTTATTTATTAGAAAGGCCGGAAGGTCGCCTGCGCAGATGGGGAGCTATCTGGTGACAATGAAAACTGCCCACGATTGCGAGGTTCAACCAGGACAAGAAGTCTTCATATTTCTTTCTTCCCAATTTGACTCCCCAAAGCTGTAACAGGCTCATGTGACCACATGTGACGGTGGTGGGGACGTCGGGTTGGCCTCTTTAATTTGCTTTTTTTTTCGTGAAACATAAGTAGTTCTGCCAATGGATTCGCTTAGTAGAGAGTTCTGTTTTTTCGAAAAAAATGTTCTTGGTTCTCTAGATGGCTCAATGCGTGTTAATTGTCAGGGCTTTGGAATGGAGAGCCAAGTCAACAGAAATCTATCTCCAACTTTCCCAGCTTTCGATGGCGTGCTGAATGACGCTGACCGCATAGTGATCCTGCTTTCGTAAGGCAGTGTCATATATTTACTGTGTGCGTTTGCTTCAGTCTTAGAACTACAGCTGCATAGGTAACACAGGTACTGGTTGACAGGTAATTGATGATACGGATCTGCATCCATCTGATTTCGTAACATTCACTTAGCCAATGTCATGGACTCCCTGTAAGATC